ATCAATAACAAAACACAGTTTGATGATGTTGTGAAGCAGCGTGGAATCATGGGGGTTATTGTCTTAACCACCATTGCTGATGAAAATCTATGCAATGTGAAATGTAAACCAATGAATCATAATGATCCATTACGAGTGACCACTACAAACATCTGTCTGGCTAACTGGCTAGCTATGTGATTTCCATTGGCATATGCCGTTTGCCCCAGAAGTTATAGCAGAGACAGACAAAGCCACGGGTGAAGCGGATATGTTTGATTGTTGTTGGAAACATTTTGGATCAGATAAATAAACAAGTCAACAAATGATATAACATAGGTCTCGTGGTTTTTAAACATTTGAATAATTGTAATATATTACGAGGGGAAACCTTGCAGCTGTCTTTCAATAAATCAATAAATTAGTGAGGTAAGCCATTCACTATGTATATATGAACAACTTCAGAGGCCTTAGAGAGTCAGCAGGAAAGCTAAAGATGCTTCAGGGTTCACAATCTGTTAATTTATCAATCATGGTAGATGCATCGTGCTCATGCACATAATTGACAATATGTGATGTTTTAAGCATGAGCCTCACAAGTATGTGCTGCAGAACAGACACAAGATGCTTGTTTTTCCATCCCTTGGTGCACACTGTGTGCTCCTCTTTCTTTTGTCTCTCTGCGGTTGTAGAGCTCGGCCCTGGCCCTTGTGTGTGTCTCATCAATCCGGCAGAAGCTGGTGTTTGAGGAAAGTGCAGGTGCCTTTGAACGAGAGGCATCACTACAGCTTCCTCTTACTCCTCCAGGAAAATCCTGCCAGTGAATGTCTTCTTCTGATTCAAGCATGGATTCGCCCCCTTCCACACAACAAAGGCATTGTGGGGTGACACATCAAGGCTGTCGGGAAATGCACCACCAAGGGCTATGTGCCTGTAACAATCAATCAATGAAGTACTGAATACATACATAGTTCATGGCTTGTCTAGTAATGTGAAATATTATGTCCGAGAAATTTCTGCAATCCATCACATGTGAATAAATGTTTTTTCAATGGACACGTTGAAATATACATTGTTCCTCATCCAGTGCAAAAAAGCATACAATGCAAAAACAACACATGATTGTTAAAGTAAAAGTAAAAAGTAGTATAACTTGTCGCCTTACCTGGTCAGCTCCAGGACAGCTTCTGCTCCTCCTTGTTGCTCAATGTGTCATCTCAGCAGGGTCCTCATCTGAAGGACAGTTTTGTTTCTCCATGAAGGCGACCTCAGTTGAAAATGGAGTTCTGCCCTTTGTGGTTGGCATAACACAATGTCACATTTGCTATTGTGCCCTGAGAAACTTGCTGTCATGTCCAGGACCACACACTTGGCCGTGTAGCTGGTCCTGGTATCACTCGCTGCCCCCAGTTCCCAGGTTTACTTGGCATACAATACCTGGCATATACTACACTGAAATGGACCAGATGTTCATCCACTGAAACATCTGGACTGGGATTACTTTATAAATGTGGGAAGGGCTAAAGCTTTCACAGGCAGGGACTCACATCCACTAAAAATGCACATGTGGCTGACCGGCTACCAAAAAAAAGTTATTTGAATGGACAGTGTCAGTGCATGGGCTGACATTGGTTGTGTACTTGTGCAAACCCTGATATTTGTGTTCCACAAGCACCCAATAGTTATACCAGCATATTTCCTCACCCTTATTAAACTCTGAATATTTGAATATTTGAATTGAACATTTATTTTTAAAGAAACTGAAAAGACTGAAAACCTTGGGCAGAGTTTAAATTATTTGCAGAGGAGAAATAACTTTTCCAGGAGCATTTTCACATGTGCAGCACAATCTCTTAAAAGAGACTTTATTTTGTAATCTGATTTCCGTCTTTTAAACAGGAACATGTCAAGGTTTGAGTTCACCTTTCTCTTTTCATTCCTTTAATTTTGGACCGGGGATGTTTGTCACTGGCTTCCTTGCTTTTATGTTAAGTTGTGCAATTCTGTCTATGAAGGTCATGTCTATAAGGCATAAGCACAATAATATATGATAATCCATTCTATAATTGTAATCCCAAGCACATTTCTGTATGTGAGCAAGCTACTTGAAGAGCTGCTTTTCTTTTTTGTAATTAAAAGCTTTACCTCAATTTACTTTTTATAAATCCAATCTCTTTAGTTTAAATCACAGCCTGGGATGACAGGACTATATTTTTCTTTGAAAAGAAAGGAGCTCAGAGGAACTAAGCAGTCATTTATGTCAATCAAGTTATACATTTTACCCTTTTTGTACATTCCTCCATCACCCTAAATGTAATGTTTTTAAAATCCTATTGTATTCTACCAAAAGTCTGCACATCAGGTTAAAATGAAAAACTATGTGTACTCTGCACTTTTAAAAATATGGGGGAGTAAAATGAATTAATGTTTTACATTATTAGCCTTCAACAGTTTGCAATTACCACATATCCTGTAAGTTTGAATATACGCATTGAGTATTTTAATTGGACCACATTACACTACTTATTCATGCAATTACCCAATCAACCCATCATGTGGCTGTGGCAGCATAGAATCATGCAGATAAGGGTCAGGAGCTTTACTTAATGTTCAAATATGTGATCTCAGTCATATTTAACTGTGGTATGATTGTTGGTGCCAAACAGGCCAGTTTGACTACTTCTGAAGATGCTGATCTCATGGGAGTTTCACCAATAACAGCCTCTAGAGTTTACTTACAGTGGTGTAGAGAACAAAAAAACATCCATGGAAACGCTTTGTTGATGAAAGAATTCATAGGAGAATTGCCAGACAGTTGGAGTTGACAGAAAGCCTACGATAACCTCAGATAATCGCTCTTAATAACTGTGATGCTCAGACGAGCATCTCAGAATACATTTTGCAAACCTTGAGGTGGGCGATACACAACAGCAGGTTCTGCTGCTGTCGGGCTGAAAGCAGAAATCTAAGGGGGAAGCTGGCTCACCAAAACTGATGACTCTCGATCTCTGCTGAGGCGAGCAGATGGTTGGGTCAGAAGTTGGCATCAACAGCACGAATCCATGGACTCAGCCTGCCTCGTGTCAACAGTCCAGGCTGCTGGTGGTGGTGTAATGGTGTGGGGAATGTTTTCTTGGCACACTTTGGGCCCCTTCATACCAATCAATCATTGTTTGAATGCCAAAGCCTATCTGAATGTTGTTCCTGACCATGTGTATCCCTTTATGGCCACAATTTACCATCTTCTACTGAATCCTTCCATTGTATTAATCAAACTAAAGTCATCTTAAAGTGGTTTCAGGAGCATGACTTATGAACCAGTGATGATGAACCAGTGTTCTGGCCTCCCATGTGATGGGGAGCCATGTGAAGGAGCATGTTCTAGAGTTTGCATTAGGAGCTCTGAGTGAGGGCTGTGACCAAAACAGATTTCTGTAAACTGTTCTTTTATTATCCATACCCCTTATCCTATGAGGGTTGCGGAGGCAGCTTTGGCCAATCACAGCTGGCACTGGATGAGAGGCGGGGTACATGCTGCACTGGTCACCAGCTAATTGCAACATACAGAGACAAACAACCATTCACACTCATTCACACCTGTGGTCAGTTTAGAGTCTCTGCATGTCTTCGGACTGGAGGAGGAGGAGGCCGGAGTAGCGAGAGAACACCCGCTGTGAACGCCACACAGAGAGGCCCTCCCAGAATCTGGGAACCTTTTTGCCGTGAAGTGACAGTGCTAACCACTGCATCACCATGATCAATTCTCCGTGTACTAAATTTTTTGTTCAAGTATTGGGAGAATGAAAAATACCCAAATGGACACACAAGACAAAGCTAACACACAGATGCAGCACAAAATGTCAAACTAAAAAGTGGACCACAGTGGTGAGACAGCCTTTTTAAAGATGACATATGTTGGGAATGATTTTTCTGTATATATTTAATATTATATATATGTATATATAATATACAATGCAATGTTTTTTATAGATTCCCTAAATGAATGTATCTGTATCTATAACAGTTTTCTGACTTATTCGACTTGCTGCTGCAGCTGTCAGTGGCTTATACCTCTCAAACTTCATTATGGGCCCATATTTGAATTTAAGATTAAGAGAACAATTCTACTCTAAAGCTTATGCCAGCACTGCTTTTAGCCACTGGAGTACAATAAAGACAAAAACAGAAAATGACTACGTGGGTGAAAAGATAAAGAGAAATAGTGGGTCTGTGTGTTACCAAATCTTGTGGTGATGAATGCCACAGACTTACTGGATTTGAATCTTTGAGCACAGGCGCTGGTTCTTTCATTGCAGCAAACAATAAATTGTAAAGCTACAAAAAAATAGTGGTTGGCCATGGGTAATATCTCTGTTATCAGCAAATGACAGAGACAGGATAAAGCCCACGGTGAGAATATTCAATAATACCAGAGACTGAGATAAGCTATTTGGTTGTACTTTGATCACGGCAGGACACTGAAATTAGTTTGTTCTTCGAATTTGGAAAATACTCTACACAGAATATGTTCTAGAGCCTGACCAATACCAGTATTTATGTTTATGTTAACCAATACACTGAAATACGCACTTTTTCAATTTACCGAATTAACAATGCATAAAAGATGCACATTTAAGTTTTTATTTGACACGGTGCATTTTCTTAAGTCAAGTTTTTTGTTATTTAACTGATTTAAATATAAATAAAGTATATGTATATAAAAAACAGACTGTAAAATATCAAGCCTCAGTTACCTTTCTTTGTCATAGGGGTTTGATAGCGACATCTTAAGAACCATTGGCCTTTTTATGCATATGATTAAATACAATAATATAATTAATATTTTGTTGTTCTCAAATATTGGTGTTGGCATTATCGGTCAGGCTCTAGCATGTATTGTGCTACATAGATGTGGTTTCTAGAATTGGAAATGGTAAAAACAAGCCTTGCTCTTCTTATTAAATATAGCATTTTAATGAGAAATAGATTATTATATGAAACATTCATTTGAAATAAGCTGATATAATGATCCCAACAGAACAGCAAAAAAGTACATAGGCAAGGTATTAGGTGTAAAAATCTTCAGACATAGTCATGGATACATGTAAGCAACACTGTGGTAGCATAACGCCATACGAGTAAATGTGCTTGTTTTATGGACCTTGCAAGTGGCTCAAAACTAAATTGTAATGTACAGCATGTTCCGACAATATAAAAACAGTCATAAATTGTCTAATTACATACATAAGACATGAGTGCCCTGTTCCTTGTGCTAATGTACTCAGACGGAGGGCTTTTTTTGAAGTAGTCTTTGTATTCCCTTTCAATACTTTTATATTTTTATAATGTTGTTACCGTAGCAGAGCGTTGTTACTGTAACAGAGTTAATATTTACAAATGTATTGTACAACAGGGGACAAAAAAGATCCACCTTTACCACAAGTCATTCTTTGTTTCCGTCTGGTGGCTGAAATCCCCACATGCACAAACCTCCACGGAGCTCAGACCTCAGGAGGAGATGAAACGTTTGTATTTGATCGTGTACGGTCTTGAATTCTGAAGCTAATGGAGCGTCACTCCTCTGTGTAACATCAAAAGGTTTTCTCCAGCTTTAAACATGTTAAAGGGATAGATAACAGGCACTTTAATAATAATATTAATAATGATGATAATAATAATAATAACCTTGTTATTATCATTATTACAACATGGTAACAATTCATTTGGATTCTCCAATGTGTTTGCTGAACTATCATTTCCCCTATTTACTGCATTTATATTGACTGTAGGATAATGGCCATCTCGGGCTTGTGAGGGCTTAGCATCAATACGTCAAAATTAGCTCTGCATCTGCTTAAACAAATCCATTCGCTGATACTGTTGGCATGCACACGTCAGTGGTAATGCAATGGATGCTAACATATTTTAAGGGTTCAATGGCACATAAGTACGATAATGGCCTCGGAATTCATCACAGAGCCCGATAACCTCCAACACTAATGTGAATCTAGCAGTTACCACTGTGTTTGCCCTGCAGAGAAGCTGGTGTTTGGGCCACAGCAGAATGTGAGACCACACACGCTACCATCTACACCCGAGCAGATGCACCAGTCATGATACAGTTCATTTTACTGCTAGGCCTCGGTCCGGACGCACCTCGGAGCAGGGCTGTCATCATTTGCACGCTGAAAGCAACAACAGAGATATTGAGCCATTAACAAAGACAAAGACTGAAGAAAGTACTGTGAGATCAACCTAAAAACATGGAGCTGAGCCCTACAAGCGGAGTGTTAGTTGTTCTGAACTGGCCGCCACATACTGTACGTGCTAACATATACTATATACTACATATATAATTGAAATTTTGCAAATTACCCAACCACCAGAAATTCCAGGACTGCTGCAATGTCTTTCTTCAATCATTGCACTAACTATTTACGAAATGTTGGGTTATTTCAAGAATTTGAAACCTGTTTTTCAGTTTCATTGTTTTACCCACCCACATTTATGTCCCGATCCTAACTGGTTGTTTCCAGATATTTTACGTACCTCTGCTTACAGCTAACCTCACAAGTTACTTAATCACATAATAAAAGGACTAGTACAGCTTTTTAAACATACAACAAAGTTAAACCAAAAAATATCAAGGCAACCAAACTAAAGTTACATCAAGGGACGCAAGACATATGGAATCAATGGGTTGTAAATGCTATTCTAAAAGCTTGCATCTGTAGCTTTTAGAGTAGGGAGGTTTTTCCAGAGTTTGGGGGACACCGCGGCAACAGACAATTGCCTCTTTATTTTATTTCAAAGCCAGAACAGCTATGACATGGAGGACCTTGTATTTCTTGTCCTGGACAAATATGCAAGTGATGAAGTGGACTTACAAAACGTCACCAGTAAAAGCAATGTTTCAGCATCAGATTAACCTAATAAAGTGTGACCTCTGAAGTATTTACACGACATGAAAAAACGTTTTACAACCCCTCAGTTTTAAGTTGTTGCATGTATTACATCACATCCTGTCAAGTTCATACTAAACCAACATGATGGGATATTCTGGGAACTGTGATGGGCAAACCCTTCCGTACAGTGTTGTCCTATGAATCCAATGGCGTAGCAACACATTTCTTTCAAGTTTGTAATTAACAGAAGTAATTTTGTTTGTAAATTTAAAAAAGTTGGTTTACCTTTAGGAATTGTTCGCAGTATCTTTCAAGGTCTAATTAACTTCCATTGCTGCAGGACCCTTGTAATTTAACCAATTTTAAATCCTTTAAAAAACCTGGCTTTCCATGAAATATACATGATTTTTCAGCGTTTGGGAATGTTTATTTAATTTTTTTGCTTTGGCCAATTTACTGCTTACTACATTTAGGGTTATTAACTGGAGACTAACTGCTTACATTTTGTATAAAAACTGAAAACTGAGGGTGTTATTAAACTTTTCATTCATAGTGGTGTATCAAATTTCAGTTTTGATGATTTAAAATCATAAAAGTTTTCACCAACATGCAGAAAAAACATTTTTACACATGGGCATAAAAGCTTACAGATTAATCACTGCCAAAAAGGTATTTTAAGTTTTAATATATAGCATTTATATTCTTTTTTTCCCCCTGTGACACATTCAATGGCTTTCAGAACAATTTGCATCCAGCATTTTATGCCCTCTCTTGTCATCTGCCTTTTTGTTGTGTTCATTTATGGAATCAAGTGAGGGAATAAAATAAAAACAGACAGATGGAACATCTTTTTCCATGTAAGTAAGGGAGACATGGATGAGCTTCATGTTTTATGTCTACCTCAGGGAAGTGTATGGCTTTAAGTTGTCTTGCAAATGTGCCTGAACAATGAATGTTTACATTTTGCTCTTGGTGCTGAGAAGCTCCACGAATCAGCAGTCACAACATGTACATTTTGCAAAGCTGTACAAAATAGCATTGATTGTTAAATCTTCAGACCACAATATTGCACTCACGCACCAGGAGGTACTGCCTTGTGAAAAAACACAGCTTGAATTTCAAACACGGGAAGAAGCGATCCAAATGCGAGATTCAGCTTAGACTGGAGTCACTCTCAAATGACACATTCAATTAACGAACAGCAATAAGCGTCAAGCCAAAAAAAATATGCGCACACTTGCACACTCACATACGCACACATTCACCCACATATATATGTATATATAAACAGCTGGCTTTTGTTATTTGACATGACTATCCATTACTGCCCTGCTGTGTGCCTTATGTGTCAGAACAATGACAGAGTGCCTCATAACTCACAAAGAGCAATGCAGACTCACTGTGGGTTTGAAATGTAATAAAGAGTCTATAAGTAATTTGTTGACTACTTACTCACTAGGGCTATTTAATCCTTACAATGTATAAACATCTTTGATATTAAACCGTCGGAAATATTTTGCACATTAGCTGAAATAAAAGGATATCTGGACTGCCCTTGTGTTATGTCATTATTCCTTTAAAAATGTTTTTCTTTTTCTTTTTTTTTCCTCAGTAAAGAATGGCAGTTTCAGATATAACCTTTGATCCCTCAGACTAAAATCAAGGCCTCTTTTTCACCAGTACATAAATTTTATATTTCTTTTTTTTTTCTCTCGCTCTTTATAGTTCATTAAGGGAATGACAGACATGCTGGGACAAATATGATACAGTCCTTAGAGTTGTTCCATGAATCTTCTTCATCTTCCTGAAATGCTTTTCATCACTGCCTTTTCCTTTTTCTCTTTAAGAATTATGCTTACAAAGTTAATATTACATCAAAAGGCAGAAAAGGTCCAAAAATGAGAAAGAGAAAAGAAAATCAAGATTAATATCCCTTCATAGTTCATTTGTTGGGCGTTTGTGTTGAGTTTGCTGTCTGTCTGTTCATGTCATTATGTTCAACAGAGTTTCGCAGTCAGGTGATCCGACTGTTTTAGTATTTCTGTGCTGTACATGTCCAAGGCATGATTTACCCGGATCATCTCGCTGTTGTTGAGCTTGAGCCGATGCTTCAGCATACAAGAGAACAGGTCCAGCTGGGGTTTGCCAGGTGCAGATGGAGGGGCAAGGCGGTTAATCCGATCCCTAATGTCCAGGAGCAGGAGCATGACAGATGAAGATGAGTAGAACTGAGTTCCTTGTGTGTACGACTGGTTGACCTGCTGCACAGCACTGCGGAGCAGGTCGGCATTAAAACGCAGGCTGTAGCCGAAAACTTGGATATCAGATATCTTGATGTAGATCTGCCGTTTGTTAGGGTCTGCAAGATCCACCGGACCCTGACCTGTGTCATTGCGTAGGCCAGTCGGGATCTTAGCACGGCTACGCAGGTAGATGTGCACCGTCTCAAAGAAGGTCTTCCACCTGTTGCCCAGCAGGAGAGTCCAGTTGAAGCACTGGGAGTTCTGCAGTCGTACCTTTTCCCAGCGTGGGTAGCCGTGTTCACCAAAGGGCATGCTCCAGCCTTCTGAGTGACTGCCACTGAATGGGTTGACGTATACAAAGAACATGGGATCAATACTGCTATTTCGCATCTGGCAGATCTTCATTGATAGGCCGATTATCATGTGGAGGTAGTCCATCCTGTTTTTGTTACTTTTCAGAGTCAGAGACATGCGCTTACGCCATCGAGGGTCAAAGAATGTCTCCAGGCGGATCTCATTACTGATGAAAGTAGTGTGAATGTACAGTCGTGAATCCATTTTCTGCAACAGGTATTTGAGTTCCAGGTCCTGAAAGTCCAAATCCGTTTCAAAGCTGATGAACTGCTCGCTGCGCTCTGAGTCCACATTCTGGGGCTCACATCGGCCACGGTACAACTTGTAACCCTTGTTGCAGGAGCCACATTGTGAGATGTTAGCCAGGCTGCACATAGCACAGCTGTTGTTGCCGCCTATGACACACGGGATGGGTCTCAGGCACAGGGTGACGCCTGTGTGGCACACGCATGTCCTTTGGCTTTCCAGGAAGGTCCCCCAGAACCCGTTCTCATTACAGTAGAGGAAGGACTGAACCCTGTTGAGCCACTGCATCACAGACCTAGAAAGACACAAATGAAAAAACAATGGATATAATTGACAATTTAATTATATGGTTTGAATTGATACATGGAACATACATACATTATTGCTGTTAAATGTTTCATAGCTTACTGTGGTGTTTTGTGTTTTTTTCCCAGAGGATTTTCATTCATTTGTGACTATGTGATGAACAGCTTGTGACAGGTTAATTATCACAGTGGAAGTTTTGTTTTAATTTTGCTGTATTATCTTCCAGTGTTAATAAGGCGTCTTAACCATACTGAAATTAATCAACACCGCTGTCAAGAAAATGAAAATAAAAGATTTATTGTTTACCAGTGGCAGGGATAGATAGATAGATTTATAAACACCCTTAAGAAGTAAATGGTTTTCTGCATTATGTGCCCATACGATACATACATACAAGCTAATCACATAGATCATTATACAATTTTGTCTTTATTGACCCCAGCCATTGTGCTGGTAGAAAAAATAAGTGATCCCTTTTGAAAAAATAAAAGATCGAACACCCTTCAGCATCAGTCTCCTCAAACACCTGCTTCCAGTGGCTGTAGACAAGCCCTGCAACACGATTAGAGGTATTTTGGATCATTCTTCTTATAGAACTGCTTCAGGTCCATACTTTTTAGATGTGTGGCAGAAACAAAGTCGTTCCACAGCATCTCTATTATAGGTTTAGGTCTGGGCTGCAACAGAAGGATTTTCTGTCATCCTAACAGTCATGGTCCTCCTGCATCACACAGCTTTCATTATGCTTTAACTGGTGGAGAGGTACACTGTCAATGTCTTGTTAGATGTCAGATATCTTAATAACTTGAACTTGAGAATTAATTTTACCTGTTCAAGCCCGGAGGCAGCAAAGCAGCTCCGAATCATGATGGAATGATGTTTGCATATTGGTATGCAGTTCCCTTTTTACCCCACTCCACACATATGGTCCTATTCGTTCGTTCTGTTCACAAAATATTCTCCCAGAAGCATTTGTGAGTGTGAAGGTGCACTTAGGCAAACCTCTGGCATTCATGTCATGTCTTTTTATTTGTATATTCCTTTGGAAGAGAAGTGGATGCTTCAATAATGTCCCACCAAGGACACCATACAACCATGCACTATGATTTGCATATCAACAGGGATTGAGTGACTAGGACGTGTGTTACTGCAGAAGCACGGTGGTGGAACATGGCAGACTCTGTGGAGGAGGACTTGCTTCATGATGTAGATACAAAGGCCTTACTCTGGGGTAATGAAATATCCAATTCACCCAGGACATTTGAGCCTTGACATTTCTCTGGGCTTCATTTTTTTTCCCCACACTGATCCTTCTCCTCAGAGTCTTTCTTAGCTCAACAGTCTCTTCTAGGAGAAGTGGCCGCAAAAATATATCATCTCAATTTCTGCACAGTTTTTCAAACAGAGCTATCATCCCCGAGATGATTTTATAATTCTTTCCAGCTTCATATAAATCAACAGTTGTTGACCGTGCAGTCTGAGATCTCTGCTTTTTAATTCACGTCAGGAGATTATTCTTCTTCAAACTCAAAGTGTGTGTGTTTTTGATGAAGTAGCACAAACAATGGACTCCAGGACTACAGCTTATTATAGTTTGTCATTAAGATAGGGGTTAATAGATTTATTTCTAACCTACTCGTTGAATATTTTAAGATGATCTGTGTGTTATTAGTCACAATTTTGTAACTTTGATGAAGATCTAATCACATTGAAAGACACATTTATCAGTAAATGAAGGTAATTTCAATGGGGTCACTTACTTTTTCATACCACAGTATGTTAAAAACATCTAGTCAGGATGGGGAATAGGGTAATTTCTTCCCTTCAAGAGAGGAGTTGTGTTATTTCACTCAAGTGGAAGGCATTACTTGTTATTCTTATCATGTCTCTTCATTTCCCCTAAGGCATATTTTCTTGTCATCCTGACAGTATTGGAACTTCTTTTCTGACTATGAAGATTAATTTGGAATCCTGATTTTTTCAGGGGAGAGGGATGGTCAAGGTTAGCGTGACATGTTAATGAACCTAAGCATTAACTATGATGGATGACATTGCATTCTCAGCAGGCCACTGAGCCCTCAAGCTACACCCAGAATGAGCCCAGAACAGATCACCTATAGAGGACAATGGAAGCACATTGTTTTATCCTGGATTCACAATGTGGGGGTAAATGAAAGGTGTGCTGTAGTTTCCATGATCCCATATTCCCACACATTCACAAGACCTTCATTTTTGTGTATGTAAATACTACCTCTCACAAAGCACATTAACAAATAAGTAATGAATGGCTAGAAATCTATTTAGAGCTGAAACATGATGAGGAAGAAGATTGTCTAACAGAGCAATTCCATTAAAATACAATTTGGAGCAAATCAAATGACAGATACAACCCATAGACATGTTTCTACAGCAGCAGTTGTGTCAGACCCTTGATCATGGTCTCAGCACAAAACTTGATCAGTGTTAGGCTGATAAAATCCTTGGTTAGGTTGAGAAAAAGATTGTGGTTTGGGTTAAAAAAGGAATGTTCTTCTAGTCATAAAAACAAACAGGAATTCAAGGCTATAAAATTCAGCGACTTTATACAAGACCACTTCTTCTTTTGAAAGTAGATTTACAAGAAAACACAAATTTACAAAAAACATGAATATCTGAGTCATAAATACACAAGAAAATGTATTGTAATAGGCAGTTTAAATTATATTGCTGTTACATCCTTGAGCTCCGAGATCATCCCATGTTTGACTCTTCCCGTCATGCCCAGCACACAGCGACCCTCTCCGTAACCAGTTCATCTCAACCCATCCCCAGCTTCACTCAACCCCCTGCCTCGTCAGTCTGCTGCCCAACACATCCTCCTGCTGGTCAGTACTCAACCCCGCTCACTGCCCAGCCTCCATCGCCTGCTCTGCTCATTCCCCAGCTGACTGGTCCGCCATCCAGTCCCACTCACAGCTCAGCCATCTTTGGCTCCGTCCTGCAAAAAGACGCCATTTGCTCTATAGCCTCAGCCTTCGTCTGCCAGAACCCTCATCTCTGCAATAAATCTGCTCTGCATTCAGGAGATCGCCCAGTCAAACATATATTCTAGGCTAAAATAAGAAGTATTAAATCATACAGCAAAGTATTCCAATTTGATTAAGTCAAAAACATTCAATTTCTGAGGATTGTTTTATTTTTAAGTAAATCTGAGAGAAAAGGGGAATTTTCTTACTTATAATTTAATGATTTTACTAAAGGGAATATTTTTTACCTTGCAATGTTACATCCCTTTCCAGGTATGTTCCTTTTTTGTCCTTTTTTATTTACATACACACTGGCATAAACACCAGAATGCCAAATTAAATATATCCAGCAGAGTAACAGAAATATAATCACTGAACTGCTGCATATTATTTGCAGCATGAATACATTCTTATCCAGTGATTTGGAAAAATTAAATAAAAAAACGAATCCTTGATAGATTCTGAAGAATGTATCTGGATATAAGATCATTATCTCCCATAGATGAATTGTAATTTCTCTAATTGTCTTGTAGCCATTTACTTAATTTAGTGTGGTTCACATTTCCAACCCTCTCACTGGCAAAACTGATGGTTATCAAGAGTCAAAAGTTTAGTTTTGTCTGTGAATCAAAGTATGTGCATTCAGTCTGGAGAGGAACATTTCTCTCTATATTAAATCTAATGAATGAGAAATAGTGGTGTGATTTTAAATCTAATTTAATCTTTTGTCTGAGAGTTCGGTTTCTTTTTCTTTAAGTACTTCATCGATTAAAGTGTGTTTTTTATCTTTGTGAATACCTTCTTTGAGTGTCCTCTGAGTGCAATTGTCTGTAGAGTTATTATCAATCCGGCTTTTTCTACACGCCAAATACTTTATCAGATAGAAAGAGCTGCATCTTGGTTGTATGCTTTGGCTTTTGTTTGACATATTTGTTCCCAACGTGACATTGCAGACTAAAACAGCTTGAAGTCTTGTGTCTCATGCCAAAAGCACAAGACTTGAACTATAAACTGTTGCCAGACTTTGTCTTTGCCTTAAATTAGTCATATATTTGCTTGCACTCTTGCCACAGGTCCACGTTATCTTTTCAACATTGCAAGCAGTCACCCTCTGATTTCCCCTCTTGTTTGTTCAATTGCAGACTTGATATATACTGTACCTTTGCGTGGACCTGCTATTTCTAGTACTTGTTTGCTTGTGTGCACTAGTGTGCTGATATCTGCTTGTGGCTCTTCCTACGTGATGAAATGTCTTAATCTCCTGGTGCAGGCCTGTATTTTTTGATTTTACTTCACATTGCAGTGCTGCAGTTTGGTCCAGAGTGTCTTCAGAGAGATGGCTGGATCCTGTTATCTTTCCCCAGCATGAATATATGAGTAGCTACCAAGTAGAGGCCTGCCAGTATACTGAGTTTACTATATACCCTGGTGAAACATTCAAATGGTAGCACTGCCAACAATATCTTTTACCATCATAACTGTGATTATTATTGTTTTTCAGGGGAAATGTGAACACACCACTCGCCATCTTTTGCAGTTTAGTTTTGATCAGCCACAAGGGAGGTGGAGCAGCCGCTTGCCATTACTTGCTATTCTTATACTTTCTAGTTGGTTTGCTTTAGCACAGCTTGTTCATGGGTGCTGTCATGATATTCTCTGAGAGAGTAAGCAATCATTTTACATCCATGGTAAAACAGAAACTTCCTCTCTCAAGTTGAGACACACCCTTGTTCTTCCTCACAACTGAACTTTATATGCCTGTGGTGGCAACAAACATGCATTAGACTTTATTATTATTTTTCAGCTGTTGGTACTGATAACATAAATCAGATCTGGAGCACATAGGCTTAGTGGTCCCGAGGACACAGTAGTCCCAGCCTTCAGCAAGGCTCTCTCTCAACCCTGCCAGCAACCTCTCCACATTTAGTTTGGCCTTTGGTTTGGTTCTACCTGTTACAAGGTAAATTAGTTTTAGGGGAGAGGCCAGACTGAGAGTGATTCCGTGTAGAGCTGCTGCTTTTTCATGTCAAAAGAGGTGGTTGGGGCATGTGATTAGGATGCCTTCTAGGCGCCTTCCACTGGAGGTCTTCCAAGCACATTCAACTGTTCGGAGGCCTCAGGGTAGACCCATGCTGGAGAGATTATATATCTCATCTGGCCTAGAAATGCCTGGGGGTCCCCCAAAGGGGGCTGCTGCTAGGGATAGGGACGCCTGGACTGCTTTGCTTGACCTGCTGGCACCGTGTCCCGAACGTGGGCAAGCAGCCGAAAAATGGATGGATGGATGGATCTGTTGGCCAACCACAATCTTGTTTGTGAGTGACTAACTGAAACCTAAATAATTCAGGAGATTGAAAATAATTTAAAAAATAAATCACTGAAAAGGCACATAACAGATTCTTTTAACAGGTGCCTCAAAGTTAGAACTATTCCCATTATTTTTTATTAGCTACTCATTATTGCATTGGACACAGGCCCAGTCATTATGACCCCTCCTCTAACTGCTGACATATCCATTCTGAAATATCGAGCTAAAACATATTTTATCAAATAAATGCCTCCTTCAATAAGCTATTTGATTGCACCATGCAGACAGTTTTATTTTGCTGTATTTGTTATCAAATACAATGGCTTAGCTTAGATTTGCCATAGGAAATTAAATGAAAACACGCTGGAATGGAAGCTGTTTGTTTTCACTCTTTGTTTGTAATGGGGTACCAAACAGCCCTGGTTTTCCTATAACATGCATCATAGCTCCTTCTCATTGAGTCGCAAGGAAAAGATAAGATGAAAAGAGCAGCTACCATTAGAAGAAAACAGAAAAAGAAGGATCCTTATCCTTAACGATTGTACATGTGAGGATAGCTATAGTGTAAGGGTGAATACAAATATGTATAAGCAAAGATTGTTAGAAAAAGTAAGGATTTTAATGGTAAACATAAACAGTGCCATGTCAAAATCAATATAAATTAGGGCAAAGTAGTTAATCATATGGAGGGTACACTCATATTTGTAAATATGCTTGACTTTGAACATGAATAATTAATGGATGCAAATGACTTGGCTGGGAGTGATGCTACTTCATATCTGTCACTATTAATCATTTATACCAAAGACAAACTGCTATATTCATTCTTCTTGAAGCGAGCTGCTATACTGATTTCAGGAAATGCAAGAGCAAATCCAATATAGTTCACGTATTAAGTTTCCACACACTTATTGCAGTGAGTGCTCACAACAAGAATTTACAATGCGTTTTAATGAATGGATACCTAGTGCTGAGGTAAAGCGAGAGAAATCGTATTTGTCAGTATGGACAATGCATCAGGTGCCCGTCTTTCATTAGCTGATGTATATATGTTTATTGACTGAACTTATTTAATATGCAGCGGTGAGGGGGCAAAGTGATTTAATACTTAAAATCTTTTTTGGATAAGTATAACTTGATTGCACCAGTTTACATCATAATAATTGCACTCAGTAATAAGCAACTTCCCCTTGTTTCTTAATTTAATTAAACTAAAACCTGCTATGAGTGGCATAATATGGATGCCCTGCTAAAGCTGCATCTAGAAAATAATATGAGACTTAAGAGGACCAGTTGTCCTGGGAATGCATTATTATCATTAATATTATTATATTGGTATTACAATTTATCTATTGGTAATTCTATTATTAATTGGTTAGGAATTTACCATTACTTATATTCACAGTTATACCTGACAGTGTGTGCATGGATAAAATGGTTTATTAAGGAGCTTCTAGGGGACTCATATTAAATAAATCACACAAAAACATTCCTGTGAGTCTAAGCTCACCTCCATGACTTACCTTTTCTCAACTAGGTTGTCAAAGCAACCAAGCAAAAGCAATTCTTATGACCTTTCCAGCACATTGCAAAATACTATGTTGACCCCCTGTTGTGCCACAGAGCAGCCGCATCCCTTTGAGAAAGTATCAGCTTTTTTTAAAAGTATCAAGTTCTAGTGTACTCTGTTTGCATGCGTACAAAAACTGATTGATGTTAATATATTGGAGGATGATTGGATGATGAATCATCTGCCATTAGTATATCATCTGTCTAATCTACTTTGATTGCTCATCTCACCCACGTATTTATCCTTCCGCCCTCAAATGCACAGCAATATCACCAGGTTTCCAGGGAACATCTGGAGATACCATCATTCTGAATGGCACTGAAGTCTATGACATGTAAATGTTAGAAGAAGATAGTAGAAACCCTTGGGAGCTACTGTGTTTCCCACATGTTAATCTGAGTTGCATAGTGTGAAAAACTGGTTTAAGTCAGCGAGCTAAGCTGCGATCCAAGTGACCCCTGGAGCTTCAACATACACAGCTCTGAGGATTCCTCCCAGTAGAAGAGCCTGAACGGTGTTAAAGCCACTAAGTCAGTGAACACGATTCTCACAGAGACTCTCCAAGTGGGAGTATGCACATAATAGCATGTGGGTGACAACGTCATCCTACCCATTGTCAGCTTGATGTATGAACTGGAGGGGATCCAAATGGGCTCTCATGAGGGATCTGGCCTGCTGTCACTTAGAACCCTGGTGTGCCCATTCTTGGCCACTGGGGCCAGGAAAGATGGTTTTCACAGCATCATCAGCCCACTCTGCAGTCTCACTGACAGGTTGAAAATGTGCTGGAAGGCCTCCCTGAGGTGTTTGGCACACACCTTGAAAAGACTTGGGCTGATGCTTTATGGGCCTTCAGCTTTGCTTCAATTCCCTCATCCTGTGATCAGCTCTTATAGACTGCCCAGTGGAGAGGTGAGGGCTGGGGTCCCTGTTGGCACTGGGAGTGGGGGTCCATTTTCTCTTGAATCAGGGACAAGGGGAGAGGCAGGTAAGCAGTAATGGAATGATTGCATTACTGACTGATGACATGAGTGGGAAACCCTTTTAACATTGTAACTCCTACAATGCAGTTAAATACTGAGCAGATTACCATTAGCTCTCATCCAACAAGACATAACTGGGGTTTCATGAGCCTCTGGGAGCCACAAATTGATATTTTGTACACCAAGTTATACTCATTTCAAAAAACAAGCGAGTATCTGTATAGTGGAGAAAACATTATCTAGGAACCCCTGCAGAGCTATAGACCACTTATTCCCACTCAGGCTTGTATGCACAGTGTATTCACATGCACACAGAGGTGATGAAAACAAATAAATCCACCATCCGATGCAAAACTGTCTCTCACAAGCAAGCAAATAAACATGCCGCTCTTATTTCCAGTGCCATCAGGCACCCTTGATGTGTACTTCATGAAAGAGGGAGTGCATACTGTGGCTTTTTGATAACACTTCAGAACAAACCTTTGCCAACTCTCACACACAAGCGTGTGTGTGCTCCTCCTTTTCTGACTGGTGACAGTTGCTCATTCTCAGAACACTCAAATTAATATTTTACAGATTCTGATTCCATTAATACGGTGGCATACCCTACATGGCACCGTTTTAAAGGTGTTCCAGTTGGAAGCAAGGACCTTTGCATATTTTGCAAGGTGTATTCTGATTTTTGTTTCTAATCTCGTAAGAGTAGATGGGGAATTTCCAGGCTTTTCAGGCAGTGCTGACACCAGGGTACATCTGCAGCAGGGCTCTTAAGCTGCAACTGCAGTGGGTGGTGACAGATGTGTGCAATGACCTATCAAGAAAACTCCCACAGCAACATTTTCTTTTTAGACTGCAACGTGAAATACAAGAGTGAGCAAGAGTGCTTTGGGCATGTGCAAGCCTCAGCACTAAGTTGACTTGATGGACAGAAACAACAGACCCATAAGTTGAAATGTATAATAGATGACATCCTTACTGTTCATGCTTCATAAAGTAACAATCAATATAAAACCCCAACATCGCCTCAGAGAAGATATCACCCCTTTACAACACAAAAGCTAATATCCCAAAATATCACCAACAGCACCCTTGGTTTTTGTTGCTAAATAAATCCTCATCACATTTCCACCATGAGGTGCAGGTCGTATTTCTACCCACCTCTCCCTAGGCATCTGGTGGTTGGGGTTGTGGTGACAACGGATGCTCAGGCCAAAAAGCTTGCGGGCGGTGCGCTGGATCTTGAGCCGCTGAATCTCCAAGGAACTCTGGAGCAGCCTGTATCTGGCTTGCAGGTCCCAGTCGCTGCCCCACAGGAGATGCACACTGCTGATGGGCAGGAAGTGAGTGGAGGGCAACCTCTTCAGGAAGGACTTGAACTCATCTGGGTAACAGAGAGAGAGAGATGGAATGAGTGAGCAGATTGCACAATAGAGAGAATTTATTCATTTTACTTTATATTCATATTATTTAAATAACAACATCTGTTTCCAGGCAAGACTTGGCCAGATAGATAAGTCCAATAGAAAAAAGGGTAGATTAAGTATTTTAACAGATCAGAAGGAACCTTCATTATTAACTGATAAACAATCAGATTTTAATCCATAGCTATTCAAACTTGGATATTTTACTAGGAGTTTCCCTCATGTTTGTTGGACTGCTTGCTAAGAATACATTCTGTCAACTGAAGCTGTTTTCAGACATGACCTCCAAAGAGCGCCAGAGAATTGGGTCAGGACTTTCTCCAGAGTTTTCCAAAATGTAGCGGGAGATTGTCTGCTTTTTTAATACAGGTCAATTTTTTTTTGCAACAACGGGCATGGAGGTGTTAGTAAGTCAGATGGCAAACACAAAAGGAGGAAAACAACTTTAATTTGGTTTGTTAATGAGTCATGACTCTCTGAGAAGCTCATTATCATCTCTCTGAGGATAGATTTAAGCGCGTCATTAGATATAAACAATTCAGTGCTTTAAGTGTCTCCTTAGCGATGTCAGTGGTTGAGATCCAGACAAAGCAGCCTCGTAGAAATATAACCGTCTCTACTCTCGGTCCAAATTTTGTCTGAATACTGTTATAGTTTAGGTGATAAATGACAACACACTGATTTACGAAATGGATTAAACCCTTAGTACTGAATAAACTGGGTTTGGAGGTAAAGATGACACAAATAGTCTCTGGGAGGGTTAAGAACTTCTTCATATTCAGATCTCTGTATTCCAGACATTCAAAGACCTGTGC